AAATTTCAGGAAATAGTTTAAGCTTCTTATTTATAACAGTGTATGAATCTTTAATAATGATTGCTTTACCTTTATATATTCCCGTTATCTGCATTGTTCGTGAACCTTTAATGATGGAGTTCCTTTCACTGTCATGTGTCTTAAGATGAAGTTTATATCAAAACTGAGGTTATGGAAATATATTAAACTCTTGTCAGGAAGTCGTTCCAAAAATTCTGTTGCACAGTTCTGACCCCAAATGCTTTCACTCACTGAACCATCTTCACTGTCGTAACATATGTTAAAGCTTTATGAACCATCGGTACTGACTCAAAGTCAGCAAAGGAAAACGTGCTCAGGAATGAACTTGCACTTATTTTTATTTACTTCTTTTGACTCGGCTTTCTTCTTCAGTTGTACACAATACTTTGGAGCATATGAAATCTTTAAATGGTGCAAGGTTCTGTTTATATAAGTCAGTCGTATATGTGAAAAGTTTCCATAAGAAATAGGTTCGAAATATTTGCACTCCACAATGTTTTCATAACATCCATAACGGTGTTGTTCTATCATAACGAACTACATATTTGTTTTCTCTCTTTGTATAAATCTTCATCTGTTTCTCAATGTTCATTCCACCACAATCTTGAGAATTTCTTTATAATTTAATGATAAAATATGTTGTCATTGGTAATCTTTCATTTAGCATGTAATGGTCTTCAACAAGAAGTAAGTCATAGTTCGAACAGTTTCACATTCTTTTGGTATGTATCTCTTTATTTCATTATGTCTTGAGTCATTGAAGTAACCAATGGTAACATTAAATGCTATACCTGTTGCGTCAGAAATTTCTTGTACTTTACTTTGAGGAAAGTCTCTAACACGAATGACTTCTCTCATGTGGTCAATAGTTTCTTCATTTACTCCAGCCTGAATGCAAAGCATAAACGAAGCAGTTATCTTCTGTCATAAGTGTTGCAGTTCTTTTGTTCAGTTCATTGAAGATTTGGTAGCGTTCAAGATTTATAGTAATGTGCAAAGATACTTCCAGAACTGACCGCTTCTCTTCTTATAAAACTTCTTTCACCATTATCTTTCCAAAAGCTTTCTATAAGTGCTGGGTTTCCTGTTTGCTTAAGAGCTTCCAAAATGGCTTTCTGGTCATTTGTCAGTGTGCTTTCATCTCTATAGGGTCTCTTTTTTGGCTTGCCTTTCTTTACATCTGACATCGTTAAGCCTTCATATTCTGTTAAATCATACATCTTTATTTCAGTAAGATTCTTTATGTTTGTCAAGAAGAAGTCATAGTGCATTTCAACAATACCTGCAGCATTTGCTTCTATCTCTGATATAAAGTTCTCCTTCAAGAGCTGATGTAGTAATGTTCCAATATTATTGAGGTTTAACGTAGAACATTCATACTTTCCACCAAGTTTATAACATACCATCCATCTTTGTTGTGAGTTTATTTTAATCTTCTCTAAGAGTCTCATGAAAACCTTACCGAAATGTTTGTGTAAGTAGTCTCTGTTTGGTTCATCTAAAGCTTCGATGTTAAAGTCAATGAGTCTATTGCCTGTCTTAACATTCCTCTTCCTATTCTCTTCATCTTTCTTTAACCATCTCTCACCTTCTTTTGGTTTGTCGTCAATGGAACGAATGACATCGTTAGCTTTGCGAACTTGTTCTATAGCGCTCTTAAACATCTCTCTTCTCTGTTGTTTCAGTGTGTCGTCTCTCTTCTTGTTTCACCAACGTTTTGCATTGTTATGTCAAAACATTTCTCTTTCTTACTTCATGAGGTACTGAACGTCTATGATATAAGTCAATAGCAACGTCATTTAAAGGAAATGCTCTTGCATGGACTTCGTCCTCGCCGCGTTGCGGCTTTATGAACTCATGAATTCTATCATAACTTATTGCACCATTATAGTCATTGAGGATGTCAGCGAGTGCTTTTTGTTTGTTGCGTAATGCTTTGCTACTTCTATGTTAGCTTCTGTAAGAAGTTGTTTTATTTCCGAGTGTTCGAACTTAGACAACTTCCGATACATCTTTAGTAGGAAATAAAAAAAATATTTTTTGAAAAATTAGATTAGATTTTTTTTAAGTTATTTTTCAAATAATTTAATATTTTTATTTTAATGAAACACATGCAAGATTGCAAGTTCTTTTCATACAATGCTCTCGCTACTGCCATCAAGAATGAGTTCAATAATGCTTCAAATGTTAATGTTATCTTTAACAAGAAGTTTGTGAAAGAATCTAAGTTTGGTCAGTATGTCAGACCATTAGCTATCGTCATTGACCGCAAACGTTATACTTCACACGAGTTAGCAGTAGTTTTGAAACAAAAGAGTTTCTTCGTGAATGTCAAAGATACTCATTATACTGTCATAAAGAACTCTAACGTTGACTTCTTCAGTATTGCTTTAAATCTTTCCGAACAGAAAGAATATAAGAAAGGTGAAACAAATGTGAAATATTATCCTTCATCTCTGAAGACAATAACGAACAAAGATGTTATACAGAAATTCTTACCAAAGGTTGAAGAAGCTTCTATTGACATTGACGAAGGAAGTGAAATGGTTGAAGAAATTGACCCTGAAGCTTTATAAGAAAATTTATTTTTGAATAACTGATGGTGACACTGAAAACATTCGTGAAAAAATTAATGAAATCATTAACGTAAACATTAACGATAAAATTTATTTCCAGGACTGTTGTCTAAATGTCATGTTGTCATCATTTTTCAGTTGCGATGGAATATATCTAACCCTCCCGTTAACTAATAAACTTGACGATCAGACAATTCTCCCTTCGTCGATTATGTTCGACACGGAGCATTTATGGAAACAATTAAATGGTAAAAACAAAATAATGACGATCAGACAATTCTCCCTTCGTCGATTATGTTCGACACGGAGCATTTATGGAAACAATTAAATGGTAAAAACAAAATAATGACGAAGGGTTTTGTTTTTTATCGTGGTTTTCTCCACTATGGTCCTAACGTGGCACCCGACGAGATTTTTTTTCATTCTTCCTCTTTGAAGTTGTCGAAATATTCTGTTATTTTTTCCTTCAGTAATGTTAAGTCTTCTTTGAATGTAAGTATTGTACAACCTTTGATGTCATAGTGTGTTTGAGGAAGAGTATTTTTGACAATTTCCTTTATTTGTTCTCATTCGGTGTCATTGAAATCGGTAAGTTTTCACGATAGAACCAGTTTCTGTCAGATTTATATATCTTAGCTAAGTCATAAAAGCTCTTGTTGTTTCTTCTGACTAAATGCAACATAACCATATCTTTATCTTCTTCTTTCTCCAACTCTTCAGTATATATCATATACTTATAACTCTTTTCCTTTTTTTGGTACTGAACGCGGTATTCTTTTCTGTATGCTTTTGTCTTTGGATTCAATGACTTCATCTTTTGCTTGAAGTTTCTTTTCCATCTCTCCACGTTCTGCTTTATATAGTTCATCTAACATCATGAAAATATAACAAGCATAACGAGGTGAAGTCCACATTGCTACAGCGTTTACTAAAAGTCTATGAACATAATAACCTTTCAAACCAGGAGCCAAATTCTTGCGATTTTCATACGGAATCTCTTCCCTCGGTTTTTCCGAGGGAAGCAATCATATGAGGAAATTCTTCTAAAAGTTCTTTTGTCTGTTGGTTTTCAAACCAATGATATGCTTGCTTTGTAGAACGAAGAGCATTCATTATACTTTGCATTTGGTACATATCGTCTTTGACTGAACGAATGAGATGTAACTGTTTGTTATACTGTATGTACTCGTATTCTTCATTGATGGCTTCATGGACTATAACTGTTGTTGTGTTCTCTGATGTTGACATTACTGTCTTTACATACAAAATAAAAAAATAAATAAAAATAAAACTAACTTTATTTCTTCTTTATTTCTTTATTCCCGTGGAAGAAGGGTTTTGCCGTTTTTTCTCAGCCGAAATCAATGATTTTTTGATTTTTGGAATCCTTAGCGAATGAGGAATCTTTTCTCTCGTGGAAGCTTTGAACAAAAATAAATTTAGGTGAAGAGGTGAGATTTCACCTCTTTTTTCACCTGTTTTTTCACCTCTTTTTTCACCTCTTTTTTCACAAGCATTTTACATGAATTGTACGATGTATATTTGAAATCCTAAACAATTTCGTAGATTCTATTTCTTCTTTTAGTACATTGAATGTTTTAATCATGCCGAAAGTCTCTTTATATTTCTTTTTGACGTCAGACAGAAGGAAATCTTCTGCTGTTGGATAGTTTTTATTAAGAAATGTCAACATATCCATTTTATCTTCTGCTGGCTTTTCTGCTTCTTTCTTTAAGTCTGCATAGTCGTTTCGCATTCTTTCTATCTCTTTGACTGAGTAGTTATATTTCCTCATTGCTGCTTTACATTTTGAACATTGCGGCATCGTTTTTGCGTTATACATTGAAACATTACCAGCTAAAACAACTAAAGCGTCAATTGCTCTCTTCATCTCAAACATAGCGGGTCTTATTTGTTGGTTCCATACGTTGTTATCTTAAACTCCTTCGCATAACTGAACTTCAAAACTCCTGCAATAAGTTTAACATTCATTAAGTTTTCTTCGTTATCCTTGTTTATTGTAGTATTTATGAGAGCATTTAACACTCCAGCTAATGTTTCCATCTTATATTCTACATTATTGTGAAATCTTATTTCGTGCTTCTTTCCATCTATTTCAATCTCTATGAAATCTGTTTCATCTGTTATGACAAAAGTTGCGATAGTATTGAAGTCAACAACTCTGAAAGCAAGCGCTTCATTCTGAAGACCTAAGTTTGTTTGTAGCTTTACTGTCCCGTATTCGTTTGGGTCTGTACTTTGCAAATAGAACAACATTTTATTCTCATTAAAATATGACTATTGCTGCATATGCGTATGAAACAAATGAAGCAAGAAGAGCACATGAACTAGTAAACGAAAACTCAACTTTAACCATTGAAGGCAATGATTTAGTCATTGACGATGGAAAGACTAAAAAAAGTCATTGATTTCGATACTTTTAACACTTATGACCCATTCATTACAACAAGTAAAGTTCCTATCATAAATGATGGAACGGTGCAATATATAAATTCTACAGTAGATGCCTCATTAGTGAAAGTATTAAATGTTCTCATTGAATTGTTAAACAGCTTTCGATTTGACGACAACATTAAATGCCTAAAGAATTTAGTCATGAATGAGAAACAAATTCTCGGCGTTGCTGGTAGCAGTAATGATGTACACCTTATGACATTAGAATATTATAACGAACATAAAGATGAACTGAAAGGAGAGAAGGGTGACACTGGACCTCAAGGACCACAAGGAATACAAGGAATACAAGGACCTCAAGGCGAAAACGGTTTGGATGGTGAAGATGGAAAGGATGGAAAAACTGCTAAATCATGGATATGGAACCTTATAATACTGGTTTAACAGCTGCTTCATATGGAGTTCTTCAATACCAAATCGGAAAGATATGGGCGGTACTTGGTGAAGAAGTTTTAGATGACGTTAAAAATGCTTTGAACTTCATTTCAAATGGTTCTGATACTATTAAAACTTTATCTGGTTGGATGCAAGAAACAAGGAGTCAAATACTGTAAGACGTATAGCAAACAATGCACGTACGGGATTGGATACTTTACGAGAATCACAAAATACACTAAAGGAAGCAAATGATATTCTTGGCTCAGTATCAGACATGCATGAAGATTGGCTTAAAGGTATTGACAAATCTTTAAAAAATCACAGTCAGTCTATTGCTGACTACAAGAAAAGTATAGATTTTTTTACATAGTGCTATGGACGTACATGATGGAAGCATAAGGAACTTACTTAATGCTAACAATAACTTACCAGGAACTATTAAAGCATTTATAAAGTCCTTTGTAAAACCTGGTGCTCTAACATTTAGGTCTTTGAGAGCAAGAGCATTGAAGTCAAGAGATGCAGAAACTCCAACAGAACCTACAGAAGGAACTGAAACAACAGAAACTCCAGAAGAACCACCAAAACCAACGGCAAATGAAATATTGTTCGAATATTTTCCAAGATACTCTGTCCTCATTGCATACATTCAAGAAATACTTAAGAAAGCAGACTTGACTTTAGGAGATGATGAAAGTTCTGTATATCTTTCGTTCCAGTTTCAAATAGCAGAACTTTTGAGACAGATATGCTTAATGTATGACAACATCTCTGATTTCACAAGATATGATGACGACCATGACCCGAACACGGTGAAGAAGAAGTTTTTACAAACATCCATTAAGACAGGAAAGGTTTTAACTCAAAGTCTCATTATTGACACCAAAGATGGCGAAGTGGACGTTCTTCAAGAGCTGAAGAAAAATACTTCTTCGGGAGGTGGTGGTAGGCATGAACTTGAAATAAATGAGATAGAAGAGAAATTAGCCGAAAAAGCAGATAAAAACCATGTTCATTATATAAGTTCAGACGAACAGATTATAACGGACTACCATGGATATTAACACAGGATGAACAAATAAGCACTGAAGATGTTAATGAAAGAAGATATAAATTCATTCGTGCTAAAGGTTATGACATACACTGTACTGTACAGTATGACACAGGTAAAGCACCAGAAGCATTTGGTTATAACAATGAATTTATGCTTATACTTCTTTGTTAACGGTGTATTAGTTGAACCAAGATTTACATTGAGAGTTAAGGCAAAAATAACTTTTGAAGATGCTATTAAAAGTAAAGCTGACAAAGATGAACTTGACGCAACGAACAAAGTTTTGAAAATCTCATAAACACAATATCTCCGATATAAATGAACTTCAAGCTACATTAAATAGTAAAGCTGACAAAGAACATACACATAAATCCTTCACTACTGTTAGAGCAGACGACATAATATTGAACTATACCCTTGGTTCAAGTGCACCTTTAGAGAATCCAAGTACAAGCGTAAAAGATACTCTTAACAATTTAGATAACAGTTGCAGGAATATCGAAGATCATGCCAGAAACTTTGAAGCATATGAACTACCAACAATGTTAGATAAGAAAGCTGACAAAACAGAGCTTCAAACATTGAAGACTGAAATACTTCAAACATTATATCCTATAGGCTCTATTTATACGTCAATGAACTCAACAAATCCAGAAACAGTTTTAGGTTTTGGTACGTGGAAGCAGATTGTAGATAAATTCTTATACTGTGCTAGATATTCAAAGCAAACAGGAGGTTCGAAGAAAATTAAAGAAGTAAACCTTCCACCGCACACTCATACAGGAACTACAAACACAACAGGTAATCATTCACATTCAATAACAAAAAGAGGTTATACAAATCTTGCAGCAGGTTCGGATAGACAGGGAATGAATAGATATGATATTTCAAGTGACCCAGTAGATTCAAGCGCAGGTATTTTCTGTGGAACCACAGGAAATCATTCACACACTTTCACAACAAATCCAACAGGTTCGGGTGCAGATTATATGCCGCCTTATATGACAGTTTATGCATGGGTTAGAACGGACTGAAAGTCCTGAGCTCCAAAAGAGCGAACAGCATGAAATTTACTAAATTTAACTTTACATAAATGAGCTTGAAAGAAGTATTCGAATCATCACCGTGGAGGTCATTTAAGAAGTTCAATGAAGCTGCAAAGAGTTGGGGATTTACTAACAGAGCTGAAGTGAAAAGGTTCTTTGACAAAAATGTTGTACATCAAACAAAAATAAACCCTTACGACTACTTTTACCAATTTACTCCAACACTCTGACGCATACCAATTTGACACTCTCATTCAAAGCAGAAAAGGAGGACATAAACCATTCCTCATCTTCATTAATGTTAACACTCGCAAAGCATATGCATATCCAATGAAAAATAAAGGAACTCGTGAAGTGTTAAGAGTTTTACAAAAGTTTGTAGCAGAACATAGCCCAAGTACTTTAACATCAGACCAAGACAGTGCATACCTCAGCAATGAAATCACAGATTTTCTCATTAAGCATAACATAACTCACTACACTACTGAAGACCATAAACCATAACATACTCGGGCATCATAAACCGCTTCATAAGAACGCTCAGAGATTTAAACCAAGAGCGAGACTTTACCGAAGAAACAATGAAACATTTTCTCGAAGTATATAATTCCTCAACACATTCTACAACAGGGCATACACCAATTCAATGACACAACAACAAGAAGAAAAGTATATACAAAAGAAACGAAGCCAAACACAAAATATCAGAAATTCAACACAATTTACCCTCATTCCTGGTACAAAAGTTCGTGTAGTTCTTGACGACAAACCGTTGACAAAGAAACGTTTAAGGTTAAGTAGAAACTATTATATCGTAGACTCTATGCAAGGTAATGGATATCTTATAAAAGCTGCTGACGACCTATTGCGTTTTACCCTCGTCACAAATTAGTCGAAAGTAGTAATGGCAAACTTGCTGAAACCATTGACGAAGCAAAGCGAGGAGTGGTTATTGAAATACTTGGCTACAACATAAACGATGACACTTATAAAGTAAGATATGAAGGAGGCGTTGAAGATGTTATACCATCTAAGAACTTGAGAGAGTCAAAGTCAACACATCTGGGACCATTAGAGCGGGAGTACTGGAAAGACAAAAATAAGCCAGAAAGAATAAGAAAATTCTTCTAAACTTTTTCATTAGATGTAAATCAGACAAAATAATTTTTAGGTGAAGAGGTGAGATCTCACCTGTTTTTTCACCCTCGCCGCTTAGCGGCTCAGACCCTTTGGGTCTCATGAAAATTCATGAATTTCCTTAAGATAGAAAAATAAAGTTAGTTTTATTTTTTATTTATTTTTTATTTGGTATGTAAGAACAGAAATGTCAGTCGAAGCAAAAACATTCACGAACAAATCTAATGGCGAAACATTCACAAAAGGCACTTATAATGGTATTGAAGTCTTACGTAGAGACAAGGATGGTTACATTAATGCAACAAAGATGGCAAGAGAAGCGGGAAGGTTAAACCATTTAAACAGATTTCTTCAATAGTGCTAAAATGCAGGAAATTCTTGAGTTTTGGTGAAAGAATACGGTCGAGCCAAAAGTGGCTCACCTCAAAACAAGCATTTTATGAGCTTACTAAGGGTGTTATAAATGAATTCAAAGGTATTTACATACATCCTGACTCGTTCATTTGTTGCTGAATGGTGCTCTGTAAAGTATGCATTTTATGTCAAAGATATTATGGACTCCATAGACAAGAAAGTTCATGAGAAATTAGATGAAGAAGAACTCGAAGATACGGCAGAGAATGCTAAACATTTGTTTGAAGAAGAAGTTTAGAAAAATGTGCGAAAACAATTAGAAATGAACGTGAGATATGTTATGGTTATAGAGATTCTCCATACGAACTAGACCAATGGGAACAAGAAGATTTAAAGAGAGAATTTAGAGAATATGAACTCGCTAAGATAGCATTAGAAACTGCAGAAAAGAAGTTAAAAGTTTGGGGTCGTTTTGTACAAAAAATATTGTGAGTAAATGAACCATTATTTTATTGAATTCACCAAAAATATAATTGAGGTGAAGAGGTGAGATCTCACCCGTTTTCTCACCTGTTTTTTCACCCTCGCCGCTTAGCGGCTCAGACCCTTTGGGTCTCATGAATTTTCATGAATTTCCTTAAGATAGAAAAAATAAAGTTAGTTTTATTTTTATATTTTTTTATTTTGTATAAAAGATATGATTTCAACAATCGGCACAACAACAATTCAAGCTGCGAACGGCGGGACTCTGTCCACAACTACAGCACCAAACTCGTTAGTCATGAATCCTACGTCAATGTTGGTAGAGATGAAAAAGCTTTATTCCTTCTTCATATACTTTGAAACAGAAATCCAGAAGATAAAGCAAGAACCTTTAACAAGTAATTTAGACTGTAGTGCGAAAGATGAAACAAATGAACAGTATCTTTATGAAATGGAGGACCTCATCGACCATTTGCCTAAACTACCTGAAATTCAGCAGCAAAAACTAACTATTCCTGAATTCGACGAAAATTGAAGTCAAAGCAACTGACTCAGTAGAAATTAAGAAATTCATACGTAAAGTAAATTATGAATTCCTTGGTTTTCATTGCAACCATAAAGTTATGGACAAAGATTGCGACATGGTTTATAAAAATATTTCTGACCTTTACAAATCCGAAGAATTTAAGACATACGATAACTTTGTTTCATTAGTTGCAAAATGTGTATGGCAGATAAGAGATAAAGATAGAAGAGGTAAAGTATGGAATGAACAGATAAAACCAGCAGCTTTTGAGTTAAAGAAAACCATTGACGCCTTAGTTGTTCTAGCTGGTTTTATTTCAATGTATAACGCAAAAATGAATCCGCAATGTTCAAAATGTAAAGCAGCAATGAGGAAATATAACTACTCCGTCAAAGAGATAGAACGAATGAGAAACGACTATGCAGACTTAAAGAAAGAAGCAGAAAAACCAGCAGAAAATAAAATGGACATGTTAGCATTTCTGAACAAAAACTATCCAACTGCTGACGATTTCCTTCTATCTGACGTCAAGAAGAAGTATAAAGAAACCTTCGGCATTGTTAAAACTTTTGATATCCTCAGCGAAGAAATAGAAGCTACGAAATTGTTTAGGATTTCAAATATACATCGTACAATTCATGTAAAACGCTTGTGAAAAAAGAGGTGAAAAAACAGGTGAAATCTCACCTCTTCACCTCAACATTATTTTTATTGAATTCAGCACAAAAATAATGAATTTCATTAGTTAGAAAAATAACGCTAATTTTATTTTTATTTATTTTTTTATTTTGTATGTAAAGACAGTAATGTCAACATCAGAGAACACAACAATTGCTATCGTTCATGAAGCCATCAATGAAGAATACGAGTACATACAGTATAACAAACAGTTACATCTCATTCGTTCAGTCAAAGACGATATGTACCAAATGCAAAGTATAATGAACGCTCTTCGTTCTACAAAGCAAGCATATCATTGGTTTGAAAACCAACAGACAAAAGAACTTTTAGAAGAATTTCCTCATATGATTGCTTCCCTCGGAAAACCGAGGGAAGAGATTCCGTACGAAAATCGCAAGAATTTGGCTCCTGGTTTGAAAGGTTATTATGTTCATAGACTTTTAGTAAACGCTGTAGCAATATGGGCTTCACCTCGTTATGCTTGTTATATTTTCATGATGTTAGATGAACTATATAAAGCAGAACGTGGAGAGATGGAAAAGAAACTTCAAGCAAAAGATGAAGTCATTGAATCCAAAGACAAAAGCATACAGAAAAGAATACCGCGTTCAGTACCAAAAGGAAAGGAAAAGAGTTATAAGTATATGATATATACTGAAGAGTTGGAGAAAGAAGAAGATAAAGATATGGTTATGTTGCATTTAGTCAGAAGAAACAACAAGAGCTTTTATGACTTAGCTAAAATATATAAATCTGACAGAAACTGGTTCTATCGTGAAAACTTACCGATTTCAATGACACCGAATGAGCAAATAAAGGAAATTGTCAAAAATACTCTTCCTCAAACACACTATGACATCAAAGGTTGCACAATACTTACATTCAAAGAAGACTTAACATTACTGAAGGAAAAAATAACAGAATATTTCGATAACTTCAAAGAGGAAGAATAAAAAAATCTAAGCTAATTTTATTTTTTTTAAAATTTTATCTCATATGAAAGAACATGAATTTAGAATATTCGGAACTCATGACAGAAGAAGAGAACGAACAACATGTAAAAGATTATGCAAAATTTCTGAAGACATACAAAGCATTTAAACAATATCTAAATGCTTCTAAAGATTATGCAAAATTTCTGAAGGTATATAAAGCTTATGAAAAAGCGTATGAAAAGTTTATACATTGGGGAATTGTTGTAAAATATCGATATGAAGACTAACCAAAAATATATTTTTGCTTAAATAGCTTCAGGGTCTATTTCTTCAACCATTTCACTTCCTTCGTCAATGTCAATAGAAGCTTCTTCAACCTTTGGTAAGAATTTCTGTATAACATCTTTGTTCGTTATTGTCTTCAGAGATGAAGGATAATATTTCACATTTGTTTCACCCTTCTTATATTCTTTCTGTTCGGAAAGATTTAAAGCAATACTGAAGAAGTCAATATTAGAGTTCTTTATAACAGTATAATGAGTATCTTTGACATTCACGAAGAAACTCTTTTGTTTCAAAACTACTGCTAACTCTTGTGAAGTATAACGTTTGCGGTCAATGACGATAGCTAATGGTCTGACATACTGACCAAACTTAGATTCTTTCACAAACTTCTTGTTAAAGATAACATTAACATTTGAAGCATTATTGAACTCATTCTTGATGGCAGTAGCGAGAGCATTGTATGAAAAGAACTTGCAATCTTGCATGTGTTTCATTAAAATAAAAATATTAAATTATTTTGAAAAATAACTTAAAAAAATCTAATCTAATTTTTTCAAAAAATATTTTTTTTATTTCCTACTAAAGATGTATCGGAAGTTGTCTAAGTTAGAACACTCGGAAATAAAACAACTTCTTACAGAAGCTAACATAGAAGTAGCAAAGCATTACGCAACAAACAAAAAAGCACTCGCTGACATCCTCAATGACTATAATGGTGCAATAAGTTATGATAGAATTCATGAGTTCATAAAGCCGCAACGCGGCGAGGACGAAGTCCATGCAAGAGCATTTCCTTTAAATGACGTTGCTATTGACTTATATCATAGACGTTCAGTACCTCATGAAGTAAGAAGAGAAATGTTTGACATAACAAATGCAAACGTTGGTGAAACAAGAAGAAGAGACGACACACTGAAACAACAGAGAAGAGAGATGTTTAAGAGCGCTATAGAACAAGTTCGCAAAGCTAACGATGTCATTCGTTCCATTGACGACAAACCAAAAGAAGGTGAGAGATGGTTAAAGAAAGATGAAGAGAATAGGAAGAGAAATGTGAAGTCAGGCAATAGACTCATTGACTTTAACATCGAAGCTTTAGATGAACCAAACAGAGACTACTTACACAAACATTTCGGTAAGGTTTTCATGAGACTCTTAGAGAAAATTAAAATAAACTCACAACAGAGATGGATGGTATGTTATAAACTTGGTGGAAAGTATGAATGTTCTACGTTAAACCTCAATAATATTGGAACATTACTACATCAGCTCTTGAAGGAGAACTTTATATCAGAGATAGAAGCAAATGCTGCAGGTATTGTTGAAATGCACTATGACTTCTTCTTGACAAACATAAAGAATCTTACTGAAATAAAGATGTATGATTTAACAGAATATGAAGGCTTAACGATGTCAGATGTAAAGAAAGGCAAACCAAAAAAGAGACCATATAGAGATGAAAGCACACTGACAAATGACCAGAAAGCCATTTTGGAAGCTCTTAAGCAAACAGGAAACCCAGCACTTATAGAAAGCTTTTGGAAAGATAATGGTGAAAAGAAGTTTTATAAGAAGAGAAGCGGTCAGTTCTGGAAGTATCTTTGCACATTACCTATAAATCTTGAACGCTACCAAATCTTCAATGAATTGAACAAAAGAACTGCACACTTATGACAGAAGACAATTGTTTCGTTTATGCTTGCATTCAGGCTGGAGTAGATGGAGACTATTGACCACATGAGAGAAGTCATTCGTGTTAGAGACTTTCCTCAAAGTAAAGTACAAGAAATTTCTGACGCAACAGGTATAGCATTTAATGTTACCATTGGTTATTTCAATGACTCAAGACATAATGAAATAAAGAGATACATACCAAAAGAATGTGAAACTGTTAGAACTATTGACTTACTTCTTGTTGAAGACCACTACATGCTAAATGAAAGATTACCAATGACAACATATTTCGTCAGAAATTACAAAGAAATTCTCAAAGCTTGTGGTGGAATGAACATTGAGAAACAGATGAAGATTTATACAATGAGAGAGTAAATATGTAGTTCGTTATGATAGAACAACACCGTTATGGGATGTTATGAAAACATTGTGGGAGTGCAAATATTTCGAACCTATTTCTTATGGAGAACTTTTCACATATACGACTGACTTATATAAACAGAACCTTGCACCATTTAAAGACTTGTCATATGCTCCAAAGTATTGTGTACAACTGAAGAAGAAAGCCGAGTCAAAAGAAGTAAATAAAAATAAGTGCAAGTTCATTCCTGAGCACGTTTTCTTTGCTGACTTTGAGTGCAGTACCGATGGCTTTCATAAAGCTTTTAACATATGTTACGACAGTGAAGATGGTTCAGTGAGTGAAAGCATTTGGGGTCAGAACTGTGCAACAGAATTTTTGGAGCGACTTCCTGACAAGAGTTTAATATATTTCCATAACCTCAGTTATGATATAAACTTCATCTTAAGACACATGACAGAAGTGAAAGGAACTCCCATCATTAAAGGTTCACGAACAATGCAAATAACTGGTTTATATAAAGGAAGGGCAATTATTATAAAAGACTCTTACAGTGTTATAAATAAGAAACTTAAACTATTTCCTGCTATGTTTAACTTACAAACAGGACCGAAAGAAGTATTTCCATATAACTACTACAGCAGTACTTTGTTAGCAAATGACAACAGAACTAGTGTCATTTCTGAAGCATGTAAGTTTATCCGGGATGCAGATACATTCATGAAAAACATAGATTCCATCAAAGTTGCAGAATAGATGAGAACCACTTCGACTTAGAAAAGTATAGCACATTTTATTGCAAACAAGATGTGAGAATTTTAAGAGAAGGTTTTGTTAAGTTCCGCAATGACATATTGAAAGAATTTGATTTAAACGTTTATGACTACGTTAGTATTTGTTCAATTGCTAACAAATTATTTGAGAACAGAGTGTACTTCCCGAATGGAAATTTATATGACCTCTCAAATAAACCAAGAGAATTTATTTCACGCTGTATTCAAGGTGGAAGATGTATGCTGTCAGATAACATTAAACAAAAGAGCGAAAAGAAACTCATTGCTGTTCGACGCTGTTTCATTATATCCATCAGCTATAGCAAGACTTTATACTTTAGAAGGTATTCCAAAGGTTATGAAGAAAGAAATGTTAAGCACAGAGTATCTCATGAGACATTTATTCGATGACGACCAAAAGGAACCCATTGGTGAAAAGTTTATGTCTGGCTTCTTTGTTCTCATTAAGATAACAGAGATTGGAATACATAGACACTTTCCTTTAATAGTTTGTGACCCTGAACTAAATCCAGAACTTAACGTTCCCAGAAGTTCAAACACTTGCTGTTTAATGTATGTTGACCATATAACATTACAAGACCTCATAAAATATCAAGGTGTCAAATGTGAAGTGTTGCAAGGATACTATTACGATGGAAACAGAGATATTAGAATAAGAGATGAAGTAAAGAAGTTGTTTGAGTTAAGGTTAAAGTATAAGAAAGAAGGAAATCCTTTGCAAGAAAATATAAAGCTCATTCTGAACAGTATTTATGGCAAAACTATTCTATCTCCTATTGAGTCAAAAATAACCATAGTAAATGACAAAGATGCTATAAGATATGCCATCAGAAACTACAACCATATAGTGAAGTTCGAAGGTTTGGATGGTTCAGATAAAACTATTTTCAAGCTAACGAAAAGCATTTGCAGACACTTTAACTTCTGTCCACTTGGTGTTAACATTCTGTCTATGTCGAAGAGAATAATGTGTGAAGTATTCTGTACTGCTGAAGATATGGGACTTCAAATATTTTTACCAGGACTGTGATAGCATGCATATTTTCAATGAAGACATACCAAAGCTGCAGCAGAGTTTAAGAAGAGATACGGTCGCGAACTTATAGGAAAGAACCTTGGTCAATTTCATTCTGACTTCGCAGAAATAACACCTGGAAAACAAAGTTTAGCATACAAGTCAATATTTTGTGGAAAGAAGACCTACATAGACTTACTCACTAACGATTTAAATGAAGTTGCATTCCATGCACGTTGTAAAGGTGTAAAACAAGACGTTCTTGCTTTAACAGCAAATGAAATGTTTCCTGAAGCTATATAATGCTATTACAATGAAGATAAGAACATTCACATACCTGTTGGAACATATGACAAAGACTCTGAGTTCAGTTTAATGAAACTTTACAAAGCACTTCATGATGGTCAAGAGATTGGATTTGACTTATGTAAGTCTTCTAGTCCTTGCTTTGCTGAAAAGTTTAACTTCTCAATAACGACTAAAACAAGCTTTATTCGTAAGTTGAAGTTCTGAGGTCATTTATTTTTGTCAGCAATGAGGTCATTCGTGATAAAAATAAGCCGCTAGCGGCAAGGGCGAAGCCCATGTGGTCATTTACAATACTGCGATGGTAGAGTTTAAGAGTTGTGCTTCAATGTAGAGACAGTCCTTATGGTCTGGAGGTAAGAACACTGAGCAGTTATGGTCATGAGTGGAGAACATGTCTATCCAAAACTCACGATTGAAGCCAGTTAATTTATAGTATTTAGGATTTGGCAGTGGTGTAGTTCTTGTATGACCAATGAACTCATTTTCAACTCCCTTACTTAAGTTTGAATATAATATAGCTTGCTTTCTATCCCAAATGCCAGGTGTTACAATCTTTGAAAATTCATTTTTCCTCGGAAGCATTGCATCATAATTGAAAACATTTTTGAAATCATCACTTGGTTCAGAGATTTGAAAAAATCTTATACGTAATGGATTTTCTTTCTCTTTAGCGACTTCATTGAATGGTGAGAATACAACAAACTGACAGTCATGGTTCCATCTTCATTTTCATTAAATTCATAATGAAAGTCTATAAGTTGTGGCTGACTACCTTCTTCTTTCAGTTGTGCAAGAAACTCACGTAAAGGCTGTAAAGTTTGTGCTTCAATGTTAAACTTTTTCTCGAACATTTCATTAAATGAAATCATACATTGCAACAATGTTGTATCGTCTTTAAAGTATTTGTATATGTTGAATGTTTTGGGCGCTTAAAGGACTGTCGTCATTTTCTATCTCGACTTGAAGTATAAAGTCAACCTTTCTGAAAGCACGTGTTATATACATAGATGTTATGCCAATGTACTTCTCTTCATTTATTCACAATCCAGTCTGTTGGAAACTTAAACGTTACTCTGTTCCCCTTTATTTTGACGTCAGGGTTTTCACTACTGAACGCAACAGATAAAGGTATTTGTCTATACATTTAATTCGATAAAAATAAACCATTTACTCTTTCTTTGCTTTTGCTTCTTCTCTAGCTTTCTTCGCCAGCAAACGTGGGTTCTTTTGTCTTCCAGCAGCTAATGCAGCAAGTTGTTTTTCACTAAGTTTTCTCTTTGGTCTCTCTGGCTTTTGTTCTTGTTTTGTTCCTTCAGTTCGGATAAAATTTGCTCACGAATTTCTTTCTTCAATGCTTCAACATCTATGACCCCTCTGGGTCTTGTCCGTAGGGCTTGTCTGAGTCATTTGACTGCAGATAAAAAACAAAATTAAAACTTTAACCGATGTAAAAATGAGCTTGTCAAAATCAGAGTGAGAGTCTATTATATTAAATGACGCCAAGAGGAATACAACATCCTTTCTATTACGTAAGTCAGAGTAAAGATGGTAAAATATACGTAAGAAAAAGAAAGGTTCCATTAGCAATGCAGAAAGCGACAACATTAAGGTGTATGGCAAGGGTGAAGTCCACGAAGCCCATATAAAAACCTTCTGTTCAAACTGAGCACCAAAAGAACCAGAAGAAAAGAAAGCCAGATGTACTTTCAATAACGAACCAAGAGCTTATTGCAAAGTTCGTGAATTTCATTGAAAAACAAACCGAGTCAAAGAATCCTGACCCGCCAGTGAAAGAAGTTGAGACAAAAGAGAATGTACAGTTCATTGAAAATGTCAAGAAACAACTTCCACCACGAATGCCAAGAAGAAGAGTGAGAATAATGAAGTAAATAGATATTTTTATATCTGAAGTAAATACATGCAGAACGAACAGTTAAACGAATTACTCCAGCAGAGCATATTCATCAGATTCGCTCATATTTCGATATCATAGACAATGCAGTTCAAATTGGTGACACTAATAGAAAATATTCTGACCAAAGATTCCATCACAACCTGGAACTGCTAAAGATAACACATGGGTAACATTCAATCTCTCACCTCCTGGTGAAAATATGTTGGACCTTTACAATACATTCATTACGTATAAAATGGAAGGTCAATTTATTGTAGATAAAGAAATTGGTTCAGGTTCCAATAAAACAAACCCACCAGGATTTTGGATTGGTTTCGATGACGCTTTCTATGCAGTTGCTGGATATCAAATCCTTGCAAATGGTCGTATCGTATATTCTCAAGACAACGCAAGAGAAGAAGCATATATAACTTCAAACTCACAAACTACCGAACAAATAAAGAAAGTAGATGTTTTCTCAAAGACTCGACATGAAGATGTATGGAGTCATTCGGGAACATGCAAACAGGACAAATTGTTAGTGGTCCAATTACAGCAGGAAAATCATTTTGATTTTAAGCTTCGTTTAAGAATTCCTGTTATAAGATTCCTTCCACTAGAAGCTATTCGATTTATTCCAGCTTTTGCAGGAAACATTCAGCTTAAAGTAAAGTTCAGTAGCGACGCCTTACAATGCACATCTATATCTGTAAATGATATCATTGCTTTCAATCCAACTCTTAAAGTTGCATTTGCTTCAGATTCAAATCCACCGACAAATAAATTTGTTCCATGGAATGAACCATTCACTATGATAACAAGTCAGTAGAAGCTAGTGGAACAGTTACTATTACAACTGTAACCCAGCAACTATTTCGAACAAAGATGGATTTTAATGAATGTTTCATTCATCCAAAGTCATTCCTTTAGACCCTAACATTTATACAGAACTTGTAGAACATTATACAAACGAGGCTTATGTTTTCTGTTAAAGTTATGGATTGGATTCCTATGGACGGTTCATTCTCAAAGAATACAGATAGTTCAAGTGCAACATTTACAGCAGCTTATACGCCTATTAATGTTAAAAGTATTTGGGCACTATTTAGAAAGAAAGACAACTATTATGTTAATTTTGAGAACCCTAAGTTTAAATATCTTCAGCTTTCCATGGGAGCTTATGGAAATATGCCTGCAGAACCTGAAAAATCATATGGACCTGTATTTTATGAAATGGTTGCGAACGCTTGCAATACAAACAATGATATGATAGGATTTAATGAAGATGTTATGAGGTCATTGGTGGATGATGGTAGTGTGGAACATAAATGGGATAGCTATGACAACACACATTTCTTATGTGGTTTTCCAACAGAAGTGGACTTTTGCTTCCAGCAAGGTCAAACATCTACTGCTCCAATAACATACAAATTGTCTGTTAAAGGACCTATTGAACTAGCAACTGAAAATGTACCAAAGCCACTTATTGGATTTATGAGGGATTGTTGCTTTGCCATTCAGGTGCGTGCTAATGGCATCCCCATAATAAGATTAGATGACTATAACTTAGCTACGGACGACAGTGAGGAATAAAGGATGAACGTTTATTTTTAAAGCTTATAAATGAGTTCTTCATCAAGCTCTCGTGAACCTTCACCATCTATGAAACAAACTTTACCAAACGATTATGGAGCACCTATTGAATATTTCTTACGAGCTGCACAATGGCAAAGAGCAGTCTCACCAAGGTTAGGTGTTCCACCAGCTCCTGTCAAAAATAGCATTTGGTCAAGTCCTTATATAAGATATGGTCTCCCACTAGGTTTGCTAGCTACAGCAGGAGCAGTTATGATGTTGAAAAGAAATAAAGCAAATGTTGTAAATAATACTGAAGTAGCTGAAGTTAAACAAACTCCAACACCTTCGCCAAAACCAACGCCTTCACAAGCAAAACCTTCAATGACTCCTGAACCTATGGAAGTACAAACTCCTGTTCAAAAGTCAACTCCTAAACCGACTCCAACATTTAAACCAGAACCTACTCCTCAAATAAATCGTAAAACTCCTGCGTTTCCTTACTGAAAAAATAACGTTATTTTTATTTAATATTAAAATTTTTATTTGATTGAAATGACAAATAAAGTCACTGAAGCAATGAAACAAAAGTTTTTGGTAGAATACATTAAATCAGGAACTATTCCAGAAGGTTTTTACATTCATACTATGAAGGATGGTAGAGTTCAGTTTAGAAAGATAAAGCAACCATTAGATAAAGAAGGAATTTTGAGAAAGATTAAACTTCATGAGGACAACATTGCTGAACTTAAGAAGAAGTTAGAAGAGTTGGAGAAAGGAAGAGAGTTATAAAGCAATGAATTCAACAGGGTGAAAAAACAGGTGAAAAAAGAGGTGAGATCTCACCACTTCACCTAAATTTATTTTTGTGCTATGTTTTCATACGTGTGAGGGTGGTGATATCATTAATTTTTAAGTTTATTTTTTATTTTATTTTTATATAAATGACGAAAACTATTGAGATAACAAACTACAACGGTCATGAGTTCAAGAATTTGTTCTTCGTTCCTCGTGAAAATACATTCTATCAGATACGAGGGAGAAAGGGTAAAGTTAGTTTGAGCGTTTATGACTACAAGCATAATGGAAAGTTTATACAAGCATACGATACAAACGGTAAACGTGTTTCATTAGCTTTGTCAAAACTTACTAACATTTATTTTGACAGTGATTTTGACCTATATGAAGAAGAAAGTGAGTCAGAAGATTATGAGCTGTTATGTGAAGCACAGCAATGGGAGGAGTTGCAATACTTTTGTAAGTGAGAACGTTTATTTTTTACATTAGTGAGGTGAAGTGGTTGGTGGTTTTGTAAATATTTAAGGTTAAATTAGTGTTGTCGTTTGTGTTGTAAAATATACGTTAATGGTTTTGTAAAGTGTCAAATTCACATATAATGGGTAAGGAGGCGCACAGTGCCGCCGTACCCTTGATAGGTGTATTAATTAGGATTACAAACAAATTGAATAGTTCCTATGTCCTTTTTTTGTTTCAAAAAAATCAATAAATTAATGATTTGTCTCAAACAAATAAATTAATGAATTGCAATTGATTTGAGTTGCTATAGACATTATAAAAGGTTCAAAAGTTTATATAAACCTAGTAAATTAAAATAAAATTTTCATGAATTGAACATATTAGTTGGGTTCCGCTTTGGCAAACTTTCCTGTGAAATTTTTTGGGAAAAATGTTGATGGATATTTGGGAATAGTTTAGTCGGTTTTTGCATTTTTAA